GGAACGAATACTCGCTGGGAGAACGCTATACGTAACAGGTAGGCACCACGAGAATTGACATTACGAAACAGTGAAGCAGGTGAATGCATATGACCTGGCGATAAATATATACACGTGGGGTATACCTTGATTTTTGTGACTCAAAGGTGTGGGCGAATGAAAACGAGAAAGATTATTAATAATCTTCCTCGACGTCATTACGACTTTATTAATTTAATATGGTCGTAATGACGTTTTTACGTCATATGACAATTATTTCTTCGCTCATATATATATATGCAAATGCTGCTGTATATATTTGAAAAAGCCAAGTTATGGCAAGAAGATACACCTGTCAGGAAACTACTGCTATACTAGTAGGTAAGAGAGCAGAAGTAATGTACACGGGGCAAAGGCGGCTCTTTTCTGAACTGTCCTCCTATCTAAGTTTATAAAGGGCTCGTTAATGACGTGACACTCGAGTAACAGGGCATTTTAGAATGATGTTATGGATGGTCTTCGTATAACTTTCTCACTTGTAGGCTTTGTCTATTTTAGAATCGTAACAACCAACACTATGATGAAGTCATCCATATTAAATTAAGAGAATATGGCGCTAACTAGTAAGTTTAGCGACTAAGTCTTGATACTGGCTAAGTTATACAAGCTGAACTTTCTGTTTTTTATTGTAAGCTACTAACTAGCATATTAGAACAAGGACCTTACTCGCTTGACTTTTGCTTTTCAGCTACTTCAATTTTCATGCAAACTGGAGAAGCAAAAACTTTTCACATCATTTTGATGTGTATATATATGTATATATAGCAGAGCAGACGGACAGTCTGTGCGATGCCACAATGTGCCAGTATCATTGTCATTGATTCCTGCCAAATCAATAGCGAGCTTAGGCACATCAACTCCGTCGTACCCATTTGGTTAATTATGCTCTGCCAACGGTAGGATAAATAAAAAATAAATAAATAGGCAATATGCTAACATAGGATATGCGAATCTAGTGCAGTATGTTTCCACATAAACCGGGCAAAACTGAGCTCTATGACCGGATAAATTCTCCAATTCTTCCCCTTCGGCCATAGCTAAAGAATAACGGTCACTTGGGGTACACGTGAAAAAGGGGCATTGTTCAGAATCTGCAAAAACAATAAGAACACACTGGCATAAGTAAATAGATAATGATTAAATCATTTTACGAGAATGTTGACCACAATGGTGGCCTTGGTTAAATCTTGAACGTGCCCTAAATGTCCGAGTGACATAAAGTTCTAAGACTCGAGAACCTAGCTACAGTTTATTTATTTATTTTCGAAATGGGTACGTCTTAAGGCTGATGACTACTGAAGAAACATTGCGAACACTCGTATGACATGCACAAAAGAGAAGCAAGCTATGCCGGCGATGATCCCCTTCTTGAATTTTTCCTGAAGGACGGCGCAGTGTTAAACACAGGATTACGAGAGCAATATCAAAGCAGTACGACACACTGTGCAACAAGATCCCGTCACCAAGGCTCAACAGGTGAAGCCTGATGGCCTGAAAATAATCTTTCTAAACATGTCTATGCAAAGCTGCTAGGCAAAATCTACTTTTGGCCAGGGACACTGTAAAAGTGAACGCTAACTACTTCCGTATGTGTCACTCGAGCGACGTTTTCAAAGCTCAGAGCAAGCGAGTTATATAGTTTCTATTTAAAATATGTGTGTCGAAAATTGGGAACGCCAGAAGTGAATATACATATATATGCAAACGGAACAATTGGGAACAAGTAATTAGTATAGAAGAAATTTACAGTTAAATAACCTAACCACCTATCTACCTATTCTCATTGACGAGGATGTATCACAGGTTCAATGAATGACGGATTATTTTTTATTACTTTTATTGGCGTGTATTGCGAGCAGACCCGCCCGCTCGCGACATAAGGAGAAATTTAAACTTATTTTGGTAAACCATAATAAACACACAATGACTCGATCATTTTCGATGTTCACTCAAATCCAAAAACAACTAACGACCAGTGGTCTATCACAGAGTTTACTTTTGGTCTAAAATTTGATTCATTCTAAACGTCTACTTTTGTGTATGTATAGTGATACCTGTACCACTGTCTCCAATGCCTGTTCTCAAGAATGCTGTTTGCAACCTTTCGCTAGACACAAGTTGCTTTCTGCCATCAGAAAGCTCTGTTCCACTGTTTCATTGTTGCCGATATTGGACCAAAGTACAACGATACTTTTTGCAGCACCGCCGTAGTCGAACAAACGTGTAAGTACAAATAGAATCAACTTAGATTAAACATAAGTTTAGCCGCTAAAAACAATTTTTTATTTTAAATGCGAGTTAATGCTCTGACCCTGGGAATATTACGACGATGTCAGCTGAGAGAAAACACGTCAGTCAGAGATAGCATCGACAAGGGCCTATTAACCACAATCGGACAAAGCAGCACCAATGAACATGTGCTCGCTTCCGTCTAAATTGGTCTCCTGTTTTCTGCCACATAGATATGCAGAAATTTGTACTTCTAGGAGAAGTGTGATGAAAACCATCTGTATCTTAATGACGAATCCATAGGTAATGAAACATGCTATGATCCGAAGCTACACTTCCATGCTTTCCAATGTCAACTTCCTTAATCGACATCGTGAAGTCGCGAAAGAACTTAAAATTGTTACTTATTTAAATAAATACTATTCAAGTCCACATATATACAAGCTTAACAAGCAAACCAACTCACCCACACGATAATGCATTAAGCGTAAATATGACAGTATCAATTAAACCATCTTTCGTAATTTGAATGGGGGCACACGTGTTTTTCTATTATGGCACTTAGGCTTTAGAACGGGTAGCAAGCCTTTTTCGACCCTACGCGCCTGAGCTCCACATAGTACGAACGTTCTCAAATGAATTGAACACTAGCCTATGTAGAACGAGACGTATAACACATGTAAACCGTGCGTTTGAGGACCACACATATGCAAAGTCCTTTTAACTATTATAGCATGGAACGTCATCCACGCCAGAAATTAAGGCATCGGTATGCAACAGGGTAATACATAAACGTAGACACTTTGGGAAAACGCATTTTTACGCAAGATAACTCAATTTCGTAAATCCTTGTTATCGTTGGGATAACGGAGGTCCGGCTGATCCCTCCACCAGAATAACTGTCGTAATGTACCTTCGCATGTAACGAACCGACAAGTATAACCTACGTTAGATTTGGGAGCTCTTTTAATGTTAGCAGCAGAAAGTCCCACTTATCAGAGCACCGCTGCCGCACCGTGTCCCTAAAGACCTATATTTCAAGTATCTTTTTCCAGCAGGTATACTGCAATCCATACGCAGGAAAACAGCAAACACTTCGATTGGAGCTTGGTTTTTTATGTACAATTGTATTTAAATGCGGTACATTTAAATTTCACATTCGACATATACAGAAAGAAGCGTTTATTTGATATTTTGATATTGTCAAACCTTTAAACTGGTTGACAGAATAAGCAGAATCAGGGACTCAAGTCTCTCCAATGACACGTCCTATACGATGTGATTAAGTAAAGAAACGAATTCTACAAATGTACACGGTAAAATAATTTAATGCAGCTCGATCTACTATGTTTTTTCTTCCACCTCGCCTTTGTCCAACAGTTTCACTTGTTCCAGAGCCGCCTTTTCAAGGGTGGACTGCGAGTAAGTTACAAGTAAAAGTCATGAAGTTATATTGCATCATCCTGCTGGAGTGTATGGGGCAGGATAGGATGGAGTTATACGAGCCGCTGCATTTGGAAAATATATGCGAATCGGATCTCGTCCATGTTAACTTTACAAAAAACTAAAAAACCGGGTGGCCTCGGAGTGCAAGTCAGCACACACAGTTGTTTCTCTGAGGGAAATAATCTCAACGGTTTTACTGGCGTAATGGTCAACGCAGTACGGTTAACCTAAGCACCATAATGCGGATAATTGTGGTCGTACATCAGCTGAACTTACGATGGATAATTATTTCTATCAAAATCTTGGGTAACTACAATAGCTGTATAGCGGTCAATCTGGTTAAGTTGATTTGAGTTTTTAAACACACGGTGCACACATTTTTATCATTATTCATCGCTTTTTAAACAACGCGCAACTCGTCTATGGGCCAATATTTGGGCTGTTGAATATTTGGACTTCGCAAACCTTCATATGAACTTACGGTAGACAAACAAATCATCATCTTTAACTTCACAGTAAGTGATTATAAAGTATCGGCTTCTCTGATTATAACCACCCTTTTTCACTAACAAAAATATGCTTCCTTTAGCCTTAATGAATGCCTGACTTCTTTGCACGAAGTCGTTCCTGGCCTATTGTCCCATTTGTACCCCATAATACCACCCATCCCATTTGATGATATACAATGTATATATCAAGGTCTTGCATTTTTCGCGTCAATTCTTCTCTAAGCCTGTAATAGGACCTACAGGTTGGACTAAACTATGGATATAAATATTATGTACGCAAAAACGATGTAAGGCAAGAGAAAAAAAAATATATTTATATAATAAAAAGAACCTGTAAGAGGTCTAACAGACGCCACGGGAACACAACAGAATACAAAATATACTTTTAAATTTTATGACATTTATGGTAACCCATTTTGCTTGTACTATGATCAGGACGAGCCTTTCAGTGAAGCATGAAGTTCAATATTTTATTAAATCCATATTTGAAAATAAAATACCTTAATTTAACACTAAAAGAATAAAAAACCTTTTAACTCTATCAAACAAAGCAATTACTTTCGCCCCTTTCAGTTATTCTCATTTTGAATGAATCCTGTAAACTCTCTACTATTTGTCAGTTAACATGGAACAGTATAAAGCTTTTTCTCCAATAACCATACTGCTTGATATCAATATGCACCATTATACGAACCAAAGAAAGTTGTAATATATATGTATATATGCACAGTCAAATAGTTAAATGTACATACAATGATCATGATGATAATAACATACCCTCCACTGCGAGCGGTGAAGACAAACATTAAGGTAAATGCGACGATGAGACAGAGTCCGACGGTGACCATAGCGCAAATGCGCGTAACGGTTGGGGACGGCATTGTCCTTTGTTCACTTAACAGCAAACTGGATGGCTGGAGAGCTGCGTAACAGGCAGCTCGAATGTCTTCTAGCTGCTAGTCACTTTTGTTACCGATGTTCTTGCCAGGAGACGTATTTTGACTCCGAAGAAGAACTTAGCCTCTAATATACTTCCCTAATGCTTTACTGCAGGTGCTAAACAGTACGAGCATTCACTGCTCGTATCAGAAGGTCTAATGGTAGTGCTAGAAGTCCGTGTGGCGCTCTCAGTTGTCACACACACACTCACATTGAGACACACACGCGCACACACATACACACATGCACACACACTCATACATACACACACACACACAAAAACACGCGCGCAAAGAAACACAGTAGATAGGCTCGCGCGCTTGAATAAACGTGCGAACGGGGAAACACTCTAAGATGTATCAGTTTCTTCTTCTGCTTCTGACATCAAGTTCGGTTAACACTGTGTTAACACCGCTGAAGTACTAATGTGATATAGTCATTATAATAACAGCCATAAAGGTGGCGTGCTTCTTCGCGTCGAGGTCTGGCTAGCTAAAGCACAGAAACAACGAATCACTTGTAAAACTCAAAAATGTTTTCCCGTGGTATATTTTTAACAAGCGTCAGCTTGTACTGATTGGCTGGGCGTTGTCGTTCGGTAAACAAAGACAACGCTTAACTACAAATCAGCTGCAACTGACGGCAGCAGTGAATGACGTTTGTCTGGTCGCTTCGCAGATTCGTCCTGTCAATTTCTCAAGACATCCTACCAGTTTTCACAAATGCTGATATTATACTTTTAGCTACAAGAAGTTTGTTACGTTATCAATCACTTATTAAAAACGAAGTACTTCCACTAACTTGAATAAATCAACAGCCAATGTTATCTCCAAAAACTTGTTATATATGTCTAAGCAACTCTTCGCTCCTTGTCCAGTGAATATCATGAGCAGTTCATTCGCTTAAATTTAGATCAAATGGATGTGAGTGTACGTCTTCTACGGTGTGCACAGCCGTTGGATTAAGAAACATTAAAGTACTACGAGTACCGCAAATACACCTATGTAAGCTCCTTCTTAACGACTGGTACAGACTGAATAGGGTCTGCGTCGAAGATCTTACCATTAATGCAGTTTACGCCGCTTAGCCCGCGTGCCCGGAGCCATTCAGAGACGAGTGACCACCAACCGCTCCCTCTCTCAGTAGGAGAGGGATACACGAAACGTCAAAAAACGGGTGAGAGACAGTACGAGTTAGGACTTGTTGACAGGTCAGTTACAAGCGTCATCATTACATAATTTTTCTACTCCCCTTCGCTCCCTTAGAAAAAAAGCAGACGAAGCTATTATTGAATAGGGGCATACGTAATAGAAAAAACAATTAACATTGCACAACTACGTATTCATGTGTAAGAACTAAGTAAAGTTCAATGACCAACCACTGAAGCCAAACAATTTGGATAGCTGATTGTAGATCTATGATATAGTGAAACATCTACAGTATGCAACATAATCGATGCCAAAGACAAAAAGCTGAACAGAATTCAATATACTAATTAGACAATTAATTCAATGCATTATTATGTCGTTGACATAAATTCCGATGAATTGACGATTTGGTTATCGGCACGGACTCCAACAGAAATGGCGCTCCTTGATAGCTTTAATGGGTCATATTAAATCGACAATCTATTTGAATCATTTGCGCTCTACTAAGCAACGCGCGAATCGATTCAAAAGCTAGCAGACGACGTACGGTCTGAAGAAAGAAAAGGGTACCTTTTGCTCTAGTGGTTTCGAAATCATCAGACGCCGCCCTATGGTATTCTACATTCAACAATAACAACAGACAACAGACGCTCCGAGCTTGAGATGAAGGGAGAAGAAGGTCTATTAAGAAATTCACTGTAAATTGTGGGATTTGTGTTCGGAGAACGTTAGAAACGTTACCGGTTACTTGATAGTTTCGACCATTGGAGGGATATTTCGGCTCTAGGAATCGGGCGCTTAGAAGCTTAAGGAAGAACGGGCGCTCTGTTTGCGTATTGAATAACGAGCCGGATACCGGCAGAGTGAGATAACACTACACAGTGAGTGACTGGTGCTCATTCTTATCCGAGCTGCAGGACAAACTCATGCTAATTCTAACTTTCATAGAGTGTTTAAAAAAATGGCAGTGAAACATTAAATTTAGTTTTTTGTTGAGCAATAAAACTTACCCTGAGTAGTAGTCCTCTGTCAACAGAGCCTGAACAACTCTTAGAGCGCGCGCACAGATAGTATTTGATATGAGATCTGTCCCGTAATAACAAAACATTCGTCATCGTACCGTTTGCTAAAATTTAAAAAAACGTCTGCTTACCCAGAATCTGGAATACATTTTAGCATGTAATTCAATGATGAAGATAGCTTCAATATCGTTCGTACCAAGAAATCGGAAGTTATTATGCTACCTCAACCTAACCTTAAGAATTTGGCAGAATATTTAAGCTGGGGTTCTTAACGCGAAAAATTGGGCGAAATACGATCGCTTTCCTAGATTACATATTTATGTTTCGAGCTTTATGGCCAGTACCGCTGTTAAGCATACCGTCGGACGGCTGGCCTCCAGCAGAAAATAAAGTGTGTATCAATGTTCCTGCGTGTTGCAAAGATTGTCCTAGATTATACCTAAAAGTGTCTAGCGAGCACCTGTCAATTCTACAGTAGGATCATTGTGAGGGCATTAAATTCTCTAGAGCATAAGCTGGCTATGACAGGAGAACCTAAATCGGAAACGGAACCACTGATTTACTTACAAGTAGAGTTAAAACATTTGATATATCCGACTGTGTTCAGGTTGCCTGGAATTATTAAAACTATTTGAATTTCTTGTTTAATAAGACATGAATTCGAATGCATTTCGCTTAATTCTCGTGAACTCCACGATATATATATATATATATATATATATATATATATATATATATATATATATATATTGATCGTTGTACTTTGCAATTAATTTTGTGTTTTGTATGTCCTTGATGCAAGTAAAGAATAGCCTACGAATAGCTCGGATAATTTGTTCTGTGTAGTGATTCAAAGCTTAGACCAATATGATTCAATTAAAATAGATTTTTTTCAAAGCTGAAAAACAAACGGAAAGATATTGGAATTGAATGTATCAAATACCCTAAAAGTCCTTACATTCGTACGAGGCATTCAATGCGAAGTCTCATGGCTTCGATACTGGTATTCCGCTTAAAACAGAAATTTTTCAAATGAACTCACGCCATTCCCCTACCAATACCATTTTCCCTATAAATGGTAACCCAGGATTGAAACTTATAATAAAGTTTGCATCCTCTATGTTTCTCCTTCTACACCTTAAAAAAGTATGCATAGAAGCTATCTGAACGACTTTACGTCTTTATGAACATTTATCTTGTAATTTGGTGAGACTATATTGTAAACTGGTATTTCTCTTAATTAACGCGATTGGTTGCTTGGTAGGTTCAGAACAAAAGCACCGACATTATCGCCGAATTTAATGGATATGTCAGCAATTGCAATGAATGCTTCCGGGGAGGACCTTTCGGTAGCAGCTGGTGGCGATACTGATAAATTTTCACCCCCATCCGACGGGGGTACTCCAGATTGCCAAGCGTTGAAGGTTCCAGATGAACCCATTCCGATAAAGGAAGACGGTGCGTTAAGCTGTATAGAGATTTTGTAAGCTATTTGAAGTTTATGATACGACCATGTAGAGTTTACGTACAAATGCTTTATGCACTTGTATTATCACAATGGTTTAGACACTACTAAAATGCATGAGCGGGGTTTTCAACAGGGGAGCGTGAAGAAAGAGAGGTACGAAAATTAACGCTAGAAACTCTCCTACGAGAAGGCGTGCTAGAAAGTGGAGACGGAGTCCTTTCGATGGAGTACATGGTAAGTTGACGTTGTATCGTTATGTCATTACATTTTTGTTCTGGTGAAGATGAATTATCACCTTGGGGTTACTACAATATTAAATGCCGTGCGCCTCATAGATTGTAGCTGTAGGAGACAAATCGTCCAATTCAAAATTCTTCTAAGCTGAATCAAGTTTGGTTATGTTAAACGTATCCTGATGGTAGCTTAGTGAGTAACGTATTTGTTTGTTAATCTTAGGGACGCGTCGTGGTCTAAGTTCCAACCCTGGCATAGAGAGACTTCGTTGGGAATGCCTAACGGCGATACCAGAAGTGAAACTCGAAACATAGAGACAGACATTGCGTGTTGGTCCAAAACATTTTATCGGTTAAGATCTTGTTTAGACTGGAGTATCATGCTTTGTTCCTGAAGCTTTTTTCATCGCAAACTTTAGTTTCTGTGCTAGTAACTATAACGAATATTTAACGTTGAGTTTGTTTTGAACGATTCATTGTCCATGAATTGTTCAATGTCGATTCATTGTCATGAAAAAGACCTAAGTATGCATGTTTAAATATTCATTGCAGGGAATGCGTTTTACTGGCGATTTACTTCCAGATGGGTCAATTCGATGGGGTGAGTACTAAGTTCGTAATTACTACCTTTTGTCGGGTAAACCTTCTTTGGGCTTCTAAGTATAACAAAACTATATTGTAAGTCCAGAATCGCGTACTAGGTATACACCGATAACACTGAAGTTTTTTGTCGGGGAAAACCGATGCGTCTTAGGTGAGTCTGGTGAGGTGTTTCCGAGTCCATCAGCCTGGGCAATCCACTGTAAACGCATCACACAACCTGATAAGAAGACATCATGTGGCTGGTCACAAGTCAAGTAAATGCTATTTACTATTTTATTCATTAATAGTACTTTATAATAACAAAGCGTTGCCGAAATGTCCCTATTATCTCAACAATCTAAGATAAACACGAGAAGATAAAACTATGTGACGATAAGTCAATTATAATTTACATATTAACATATTTCATGCCCATACGCTGGAACTGTCGCGTGTTGCTTCGTGCGGTGTACGGACAGTTTACAAGTTCTGCCGTCTTTTCCTTGATCGTTATAGATATAAAGGTCGTAAGCTGGAGTTGTACAAACAGGAGTGGCTGCATAGACACAAGACAGCGAGGCCATCCAACATGGGTAACACTATCACCATCACGACTACGGCAACGAGCGCCGCATCGCTTGTAAATCCGCTAACCTCTGCGTTGGCAGCTAGTACTGCATCCCCTGTTGCAGCTGCGGCAGTGGCGGCGATGGCAACAGCGGCAGCTGCTGCTGCCGTCGGGACTGGTCTTCCCGTGTCCCCACCAGCACCAGCGGCGGGGCTATTCAATGTTGCCAGCGCTTCCGGAATTGGTGGTGTTACCCTTGCCGCCCCAACAATCGAGCCTACCGCCACATCTGCTTCTGCAGCCACGTCCTCTACCACAATTGCACCTACGACTGTGACATCAATGACTCTGACGGCCACTGTGACAGCTTCCCCCGTAACAACTGTCACCAGCGTTGCACCTGCTGCGACTATACAAGATGCTAAGCCGTTGGCAGCGCAGAACAATATTGTTGCCCCAACAGCTGCTGCAGCAGAAGGAGCAGCTGCAAATGACCCCACAAAACCTCCGGAAGAGGAGGGAAAACAAGGCAAGGGATCCATATGATGGAACGTGCAAGGACGATTGTTTGCGAACGTTCAAGATTCATAAGAGATTGAAAAACTATTTTATTACAAGGTGTAGTGGAGTTTGAAGAAATCGGCCTGGATACAGACGAGCAATGAATGAGGTTCTGTAGTGTAGTCTTTGCCTGTTCAGTTCCTCTGTAGAAAAAGTTCTTCTATATATATATATATATATGTGTATATATATATATATATATATATAATCTACCGTTTCATCTGAAGATAGACCCGTGAATCTGAACTCCAGTGTTACCGGCTGTAGTGTCTATATACTTCAGCTGTCATTTTTTCATTGTTGATATTGTACTAAAAGTATTTATAGCGAAGTAGTAAAGGTGCTAACTATATTACTCCGTTTAGCTTTTGAAGCAATGATCCGCGTTGGCAAAACGGTTATCCGAAAACCGCGCTGGTTCATTGAAGCAAAACGACGTGCTCTGGGCCTTCCGGGCGAGGGTCAAGACGACAACAAAGAAAATGGGTCGAGACAAGGCGGCTCAGACGGAGACTGCAATGGAGCAGCTCTCGACAAACTGTTAGTTGTCCCAGTTTCTTTGTAGCTTCTTATTTTTAGAATGCTAATCGTACATTGTATACATACATAATAGCTGCACATATTATTGTACAGATAACTATTCAAGTAAGCACATGGAAGCTATTCTAGTCAGCTGTACGTCGCTCCTGTCAGAATGTATTGCACATTGTCCCGTAAGTTAGTTGTCATATTATTCGTGACAACTATCATTGATCGTGTTTGATTTCGCCTTATAAGCAAATTTTTTTCACAAAGCTTATACAACTCTCTCTCCTAGAAAAAAGATCGCAGCATGAGTGTCAACGTTTGTGGCGCGGGTTTACACAGCATATAGCGGGATTAGGAAAACTAACCTATTCATCCACTGTGTGTTAAACCGCGCACGCTTTTAGGGGGCATTCAGTCAGTTCTTTATTGTCCGAAGTGAAACAGCTCGTACGATATGATCGTTAGTTCATTAGGGAATCGACATAGATATTCCTGCTACTTAGAAAGTTGAAAAGTACATATGTAAGCTAACACCCTTTGCTGAAACGGTCGCTTTTTGTGCACATAACAGGCCGGAGAATCCGCAGTATGATCCGGTGACATTTGCCTCAATCGAACGGCTTCAACCATTTCACATTTCGGTCTCCTCAAACGTTCTCCTGCTCGTCGATTTTCATTGTCATTTGAGCAAGTACGTTAACTTCGACAGAGAAATTACTAATTCTTAGGAACATCTAAATACGTAAGGTCATCTGATATCGGTCGAAGTACCGCAAATGCTATGCTGAGAAGGAATCGTTAGTTCAACATTTTTTACAACAAAACTGTTTACGAGCATGACTCATGAGTTGCTGTTTAATTGCACCGGTTAGGCCGAGTTTAACTCGTCTTACCTAATATATGAAATGTAGAAAATATGAAATGAAGGAACAGCCCAAGATCGAGGGACGTGCTTCGCTGTGTTCGACTTAGCCATGACCTTCGGGCTTATATTACCAAAATTTAATAGCCTGTACCTGTTGATTCTTAGGACAGAAGTGTGCGGATATCTAGGTGGTACGTGGGATGTGGCTACGCACGGTAAGTTTAGACAGTTTGTAACTTACTGCATCATTCCAGGATGCTTGTATTTGCGTTAAAATCTAGAGTAAGCGTGAACGCTTTCTAGTGCAACTCCGCAAAAAATCTTCCTTCTTCAGGACCATTTGATTTAACTATAGGATAGATAATAAATGATGGTGAACTTCTTAGTAATGTCTTCGATAGTACAGTTTTTGAGATTTTTCTAGAGAAAATTGTTCTTGTTATCTCCCAACAGCTATGCAAATCACCCAGGCGTTTCCGGTGAAAGTTCCGCTCGATTCGGCTGATCACGCTAAGGTTATGGAAGAGGTAAATAAAAAACCAATAAATGTTGAGATCTTAAAAAAAAAAGTACTTTTTTTACATTTTACTTTATTGCGCTTTTAAGAACTTAAGCTGTAACGGATCTGCGATGTGCAAAATTTTTTCTAATACGAAGCCAGGTACTGAATGCTGCTGGCGAAAAACAAGCGGGTAGTATCTAGGTAAATTCTAGTCGTTCATACACGTAGATTTTAGTCGCGCAATAAACGTGTCAGAGTAATAAATTGCCATCAAAGTACATGTTTGTTTAATATGCGTTTAGATACAGCTTTCAATGTGCTCGCGAAATCTCTATCCAGTTGGATGGTACCATTCACATCCGAGACTGTCTCCACACCCAACGAAGAGGGATGTTTTGAAACAACTCGACTACCAGTTGGACATGCGTGGTGACAACGAAGCCCAGTATATGCCTGTTATCGGTCTCATTTGCTGTAAATATTGCATCTACTAACTTTAGTCTATTCCACCTACACACGCTCTTAATAAGATGTTCTTAAATTTAATTTTAGATTCAGCTTTAGCAGAAACTTATTTATTCGATGTTCTTTCAGTATATTCTAAATATATTAAAACTGACTCAATCAGCTCTAGATACCTTAAAGCACAGCAAGCGGCCAACATAGCTGAGGGCCCTCTCCTTAATTTATTATGCAACATTTCACCGGATGCTCGTCTAATGCAGCTCCCCAGGGTGCTATGGATTCGCTGACCGAGGCTGAGCTAATGTTGTACTGGGTAATGCCTCCGCCGGAGAACCGCCCTCATGAAGTCGGCAAAGCCATGAAAATGGTGTATGCGCACAACCAGGACAGCTTCCTAACTCAGGACCTCCTCATGGAAATGGTATGTGTTGTCGCTTTACCGAATATTTAAATATCAAGTATAATATGAGAAGGGGCATAGTGAGTATCTGCCTGGATATCCTTTCAAAAAAGGTTTTCATCCCAGAAATAATTGTCAAACATTATGGCTGGCGATACTGGAATGTCCTTTTATATTATGGTAATTTTTGTTTTGTGCTAATTTTACATGTAGCATCGAAACCATACTCACCAATTGAGTACTACGGGCACACTATTTCATACATCATTATGCCAATTCACATAACATAATGCGGTTTGGCGAAATAGATTCTTGTTATTTTATACTAGTGCTGCTTTTTTCAGCGTCTTCTTGCCGAACACTATCGCAACGGAAATCGGCTAGCCGATTTTACAGCTTCAACAACGAGCTCACCACCACATACGGTCTGTATGTATAGTCAGTGTGCGTCGATCGATGTGAACGGAACTATCTCTCAATGTATTTCATGTTATAAATATATGATTCTGAAACGTTTTCCTTGCTCATCGCTTTCGCCCTATGATGCGGCTAAACTAACAAGGAAATATACTTCAATACGAATCTCGTCGAATCGCTTAGTAAGGTCTATCAAAATTGATTGTTACTGTGTAGTAAAGGTATTTACATTAACAGGTTTGGGATCAACTAAAAACGTCCTTAAGTACAAAGCTGCCTCGGGATCTGCAAACAACATCGAATTCTAATGGACAAGGCGGCGCCGGAGGTAATTTTTTCTTAGGAGTTTTTCAAATTTTGCAAATCGATTGAACAAATAGGTTTCCTCGCATAATTTACATTTCAGGTGTAGTAAATCGTTTTACTTTCCAGCTCTCTACATCCAAAATTCACCTATTTACATTTAATTTTACGGTTGCCTTTAGTGTAATGTTACTCAAAATGGGAACTGTATAGTGTGGAACGAGTTAAGGCTGTGCTCACGCATAAAAACCTTTTTTTGGTGTACATACCTGGTTTGACAGAAAAGCACCGCAGTAAAAACGGCACGCTCGGGACACCTTGGGTTCTCTCTAGCTAATAAAAACATCTCATGTATTCAAATTTTTTTATTACGAAGGTCGACCGGCTGCAGCTCCTTATCTACGTTCTTTTTTATTGATAAAGTTGAAAACAAAGTGTCAAATAAAAAGCTTGTTTTATTATCATTATTATGGTTTGTTTTTATCGCCTTAACAATCTACTGGGTTTATCCGATATAGGTGCTTCCCAGGATACTGCAGCTCAAGCTGTGCAGCACTTCTGGGAGTTCGTGCGCGGTCTCATCATTCCAAACAGCATTTTACAGCAACAGCAGCAACAACAGATGCAACAACAACAACAACTGCAGCATCAACAAATACAACAACAGCTTCAACAGCAGCAACAGCTGATCCATCAGCATCATCAGATTCATGCACAACCCGGTACAAGTAAAACATAAGGAGTTCAGGAAATGTGGCCAACGACACGCGACAACTTGGTGGAAGCGAAAGATGATCTGTTGTTGAAACATAGCAATGGCTTAGTTGGAAAAATTAAGCGTACTCAGTTTGGACTTTGTGAATGAATGGTAAAATTATCAGTCTAAGAGAATCGATATGCAGTCACCAACGGCCTGAATTGCGGAATGTGTGCAACCGGCTTTTCATTACTTTTTCATTTGCTAAGCATCATTTGCGAAAAGATACACATTACAAATATTAGGCACCAAATTCTATGGGATGAAGCTTGCATCAAATTTTCAGCCCAATTTTTTTTAGCAATGAGAGCCCTTTCTTTTTACAGTACATCGATTAAGGAAACTTATGGGCAGGGTGGCGTCCTTCTTCTCGTGAGAGTGAAAATCTCGTTATCTAATAATAGAAAATTGAACGAGGGAAATTCGTAGGTGTTGGTTGTTCGCCAGTCTCCCATTACTAGGCTGAACGCAAACAATAAGCCCAAGAAATTTGTCTACTGGCGAGCATACTATTCGGGTGTAGTCATTATTTTTATAGTAGTATCGCTCAGCGAAATGGCAAAGTTTTCAGTTGTGTTTCATCTTCCCTTTTACAAGTAGGCGACATATTTAAAGAAGTCTTTTGCGAAAAACGCGAATAGCATTTGCTCTCCAGGTTTCTCTAGACAATAGAATATAAAATTAGCATGGTCATGTAGTGTAGAGCTCTCAGTTCCACGAATGTACACGAAGCATATGGGATATGGACTCCTGATTACTTTGTGTGCCGACAGTGCTTCACAGAGCATTAAGTGGAGATTAGGATTTAACAACAGATGCCGAATGTACAGAATTAATCCAATATGTAACCGATTCGGTGTCGATAAAGTCGGACGTACGTATATGCAATAGGAACAAGAGCAAGACAAAGATGGAAATAGTAGTTCTCTGAACGAAGCTATACGCTATATCGTAAGGGTATTTGTAGATACGTACATGGTTACCAATTTTATTTTTCAGTTAGTAAAATATCATGTTTTTAATTACTTATATGGACAATAATTGTCCATCACTTGTATATGTTCTCACCCCATTGTGATTATTCCTGGCCAACTATTCTATTATATTTAGCGTATACATGGATGAGTAAAGAAACTTTATGCAGCATCATATTGATTTTGGCGTATTTTTTCCTGTTCTATCCACGTACCCAATACTGCGTGTTCATACAAACGAATTGTGTACAGCTTATTCCTATGACACGGTAAATTTTCTTGAGGTACAGCAAAAATGGTTAGTATCAAACTGTCACATCTACTTACCAGTCACCTAAAAAAGACGGCTTATGTGCGTTATATTTTTAACTAAACCAGTGTAAATGTAATTAACATGGTAAAATTGAGTACTTTGAGGAGAAGATGAAAATAATGGTATGGGTGTTTGCATTTTTGTTAGAAAACACATCAAAAACATTTCAGATCGCTTCTCTTGTATAAGTTCGAGAAATTTCAACCAAAATTTCGCAGTTTTCTTTCGTTTCGTGGGCTCTTTGTGTCGTGGGAATTATCTTGCCTACCATTGTACTGGGACTGTGAACTCGAGGTTCCCACTATGTGGTCGTCGTACGGTCTCAAGCTATCACGATTATAGTCGTACGGCCGATAATAGTCTGAATGAAGAGCAGTGCCATCACGATTGTAGCAAATGGCGTTGTTACACTTATCTTCACAGCAGTACATTCCTGAAAGCATTTGAAATGCGGTTATTATTATTCAACATTTACCCATTTGCTACCTACATGAATGTGTACCATACATACATTGAAGAAAACAACAAAGACCGACAACCAATAGTCTGGTGAAGATCGAAGCTAGCCAAAAGAAAGAATACACCCTATGCTCATTCGGCATGAGGAAGACAAATTACCACTGATCTTATTCGTGTTCTTTCACTCAGGTACTATGTTTTTCAATAAACGTGTTTCGTTGAATTAGATAAACTACATCTTTTGTAGCTAATTAAATTTCTTCGCTTAGGCGACCTTTAGGCATTTCTCTAAATGCCACCTACGCAAAGAAAATATGCACGTGATGATACACATGTCATATTCACATATTCTAGTAAAAAGTTTTTTGCATGAAACAATCCAGTAATGATATTTCTATAAATGGATAGTATGCACGAAATTCAAATTTTAGAAAATCTGGCATAGTTTAATTAACTGACCGTGAATATGATGAGTAATCTCTACTCCCTTTTGCACATATACTTCACATTTCAACAGCGTTCTAATGTGAAGTCGAGAGCATATAACTCAAAATGGAGAGTGCAAGTTGATCATATAATCAGTATTTATTGTTTTTAAATGAGTACGCTCATATCGGCTTCATTGTGTCATATATTCAGTTCACAAACGTTTAAGCGTTTATCACGGTCGTTATCCAAATGTTTAAATGTGTGCCAAAAAAGATAATAGGTCAGCTGACACTGACCATCATGGTCGCATCCATCCAGTTTGGCAAGACTGCATGACCGGGCATGCTGAGGACAAAGTAATTGTCCTTCGGATACAGCTGGACATCGTTTATCACGGGGTCGTCCCAAATAGTTGTGTGGCGGATTATGGGGTAAGGCGGTCGATGGGTCCGTCAAAAAGAGCACTGCCACGTACACCAGTATCGACAAAAATAATTCCATCACTAGATAATTTGAGGCCGAGCTTGATCGTCCTGTAACAGTATATTGTTCCTTTGTTGTTTAGATACAATTTACAATTCACGTTCATCGTATTTTTTTTCTAACTATTGTTACTATCATCGTAGAATACCTCAAAATAAATTACACACAATCGTGCACAACTGCAGGTTAGAGTTGTTCAGCAGGATATCTTATTTACATCGTCCGTACAAAAGCATTTGGTTGTTTATTGATAATATGAGTTAGTGGGATACTAGGCACCAGTAACAAGTAAAAAGAACGTGCTTGAAATGAGTACTGGGTTTATGATATCTGACTATGTGCGGGCGTCGCGAGATTACTGACGCGTGAAGTCACCATCTCACAATAACGATTCTATGACTGTGGCTAGTTAAGGGTGTGCCCACAAAAGCATTGGTATCGCCCAAAGCCAGTCCGCACAAAAGGTCCGTTATTTTCATCGCTAATAATGTTTACGCAGGCTACATTCTCCTAAATGGTGACAACATGAGAATCAGGAAACTTAATCGCAGAGAATCAAACTAATAACACATAATGAGTCCGCCAGCAATGTCATTAATTCAATCTACATTCGTTTGTTTAAAAACTGATACTTCTAGATCATATTTCTAGGTACTCACTAAGCTAGAAACACTTATATAGTGACGGCTTGTATGTGAAGTCTCAGTTGTCTTTTAGCGGCGGAAACAGTTGGTCCTTCAATTTCACTGGTATCTGAAGCGTTCTCACAAAGCACGTTTCTACGTCAATATCATTCAACAGAAACGTTGTTTTGAAAGACAGAAAGCACGCTCGACAGTCACAAAATGTCCTTTCATGAGCTTTTTTTCGCAACAACATTTAATTCAGATATGGCACTTACGTATTTTGCGGCTTTGCAAGTCTAAATTTGACACGATTAGAAGATGTCAGCTGTTTTCATTCAGCTAACAGGTCATCACTCTGGCCGGAACCGACAAAGAATTGGGTCTGCGGGCTAGCAGGTGCTTTGCAGAAGTGTCCACAGTTGACGTTAGCGCTGGTATACGCCGTCGATGATTACGGCTCCATAACGGAATTTTGTCTGCACGTTCCGTTCAGCTCCCGCTGGGTCACTTTCACTTCACATTTACAGCATATGACGAGTAGCCACGTTTGGTACGATGACCAGGGGGCATCGTAGTAATCATCTTGCCGCTAGTAAAGTGCGGCGATGGAGTTCAGCGGATTTCTCTTTTTGACCGTTGTAGCTACTCATGATAATGGTAAAATTAGAATTCGTTTTAACGGTGTTCGTGCAGATCGTGCTAAGATTTCCTTTCGCTGTAGGTGTCACTATGCAGTAGTACTACTGTAATTTTCGGTAACGTATAACAATTTACACATTTAAGTGCTGTTAAAACGTTAAGCAAAATTCTAGGATTAACACAAGCACCCGATTTGACGTTTATGTAAGGTAAACTGAAAACATAACCTTTTATTATATACATAAATAATACAAGAGCAAATGCCAAATAACCAGCCACGAAAATTTGTTCTGTCTATGAACGAAGTACTGAGCAGAATGTTCTTTACGTATTTTCAAATCCTGTGTGTGTGTCGGAGTGGGGGGGGTCTAGCCAATGCTGAAATATAAGAAAATAAGTAACCCTCAAAGAGGTCATCAATGTGTGTTTCTAATTAAGATCGTGTTTTTCGTGTGCTTCTTCAGTGGCCTCTTTGATGAACTTTCAGCTTGGCTAGTTGTTTCCGTCTTCTTCTGCTATACTGATGTGCTAAAGTCAGCAACATGCCGTCGTCGCGCCAACGAATATCAAATCTGGGCCCACTTAATTAAGGATGAAGAAAATAAATCCTCACTGTAGGTGCCAGATAATTCAATCCCAGTTTATTTGCTATTATGCGGTAACGGTATGTTTGATATGAATTCCATTAAAAGTATCTATTAAAAATGCGCTTTTAACATGTAAGCAAATATAGCTAGTTGACAACGTAATATTATACTTTTAGACGATATATTGGTAAATTAACACTCATTATTAATACTAATGTTTCGTAATGCCTGATAATTTTGAACGATATTATATTATTTTTATTTTATTTATTTACTATAGCTGCCGGTAAAGTTTTTGACAGAGTTTTCTTGAAGCGCAAATTAGTGACGCTCATTACATGGATTTTCTAACGTTAATTGAACGACCATACGTGTTTAAAAGTGGAGCCTATTATCTTTTCTAACAACTGGATTGGTATACTCGTACACCAATTTATGCACCTTCCTATCGAGAAATGCTCGAAAGAGAAGAGCTTATAACGGTAGTTCGCGTCAGAGCTTATCAAACCCAAAATTCATATCCAAGTTAATGTGCTGTTTCAAGTACTGTGCTTATTAAAGTGACATTTTTAATTGATAGTAGCTTTACCTTGTTTTTTTTAAGATTACTGGCAACGCACTGAAATGCGTTACCCCTAATCAGTAAAATTAATACAGGTCTTCCATGTCTCATCGATGTGCAAGTTTTCAAACTTCACTACTATGCCGTAAAAAAAGAGGAACGAAGGCTGAGTTAACATGAGATAAAAAAAAACAAAGCGTGGAAACATTACTATCAAGATTTTTCATGTTATTTCCTTATTAAAACTTACAATAATTTTATTCCCTGTTGTCTGTACACACATTCTATCTATTCAGAGCGAACCAGTAGAAGCACTTCGAATATTGTACGGTATATATTTATATATGCCGTATAATATTTAATAATATATATGCTCCAAATTGTATCTGTCACGCATTCTATAATGTATGATATAATTCATTCATACATACATAAATTTTTGGGTTAAGCCTGTCTTATTGTTTTACGGCCTTTTAGTTTCATTATCCACAACTTTTGCTTGCAATTTCTTAGCAAGTATTACAAATTTTCTAACAGATCTGACCTGCCTTCTTAGATATCCGCGATTTTTCGGAAATATGTTTATTTAGAAGCGACAGAAACGTCACTTTGGAAAAAAATATTGTATTGGCATAGCAATACACGTATAAAAAATGGCTAAAGCGCACTATAGAACGATTCATAGATAAAATAATTGTTGACTGTTGTTCTACTGGTGTCAGTTCTTGATATCTATTTGTAGCTATTATCGTTAGAAATGTATCTTTCGAATACGTCCAAATAAAGTTTTGATTCAGTCTTTTATCTGATATAAGTCTTATATCTGACAAGAGACAACTCATCGATGGCTATGCCGGTCATGTTTCGTTTATCTCTTGTTTATTTTCTGTTTTCCCTTTTCGGATCGAAGGCACCGACTTCAGTCAAATTTTGACCAAATGATAAACCGGTCGAATCATATGATTCAATAAGGGAACTAATGACAATTACTGAAGGGTTATCGAGAATTAGCGTATTCTAAACGATTGTTTCTGTTGTCCCAGGAGAGTCGAGAGACAATGAAGAATGTGGCGTACTGTTCACAGCTCCGGTTTCAGAACAGAGCCAAAACCGATTTTCAGTCTGGGCGGTTAAACATAAAATCGCAGTAAAAATCGTGATTCCGCAGGCCACCGTTGAAAAGCATCGCAGCCCATCATGGCTGTATCCTATCTGCTTAAGCGTCAAGCGGCCAACAAATTCAGGCAAAACGTGTACGCGAATCACCAAGTTCACAAATGCGCGACCTTGCTTGTTGAAAGTTATAATGATCTTGCAGACACCTAAAGGCATGACAAGAAGCTTCCTACATACATGCATTTCAGGGCTTAGTGGTTATTCGTGAGTCTTACCATTTTTACCGACATTCAACGTAGAATTAAGCTAACATTGAGCTCGGTGCTCTTTTGACTGAAATTAGCGTTGATTTCCTACTTAAACTTCAGTTAAAAAAAGTCTGCCTTAAAAACAGAGTGCAACTACGTGATCTGTGTCCCGACTCGGTTAAGCTTTCGGTGCTATCCATAATAAATTAATCAAAAAACGGGCGAGCGTCGAAAGCGAATCATCAAAAGAGTTAAACTTTCTCAGAGGAGAGCCGGCTATACGGATTAATAATGTACTTGCACATGTTGAAATACATTAACACCACCGATGTAAAACAGCACAAACGGTCTTAAAAGGGAACCTAAAAATTTAATTTATCGGTATGGTCGAGACTTTCATGTGTCGTACAGAATGTTTACTCAACCATGGTATCCTCACAGTTATCACATGACGGCATCGCCTTAAAGCCGCACAGTTTTTATCATTGTAGTAGATCCAGTGCAGGATTCTCAAAGAGTTATTATTAATAGTATTGTTGCTCTTATGCTAAAGATTTTGATGGTAATTTAAAACGAAACGTTAGCCTTAGGCAACACCAATAAATAAGTTCCGTAAATATTATTTTAACAAACATGTCTCACACAAGGTATCTTCGTTGTTAAAGAAATTCATCCTACTATGCGAAGGACCCTCTATAGGCATAAGCAGAGATTTCAGAGAAAATGAATTTCCGCTCCAACCGAATTGAGCATGAAATCACTAAAAACATTTACATAATCGTTCTGCTAGTACACCTAACTACCTAATAAGGTCTAGAATGAAAATGCTGTTCGTAAACATGTCATGAACTGAATATTCGTGAAGCCTTACCAATGAAGCAATCGTTACACTATAACTAACTTATTTAACTTTGTGTCTGAAAGTAATTATCTGAAATGGACCATAGAACTGTGGGCGCATTGAGTAGGACAAACTACTATAAGAAGCTAACTTCAAATAAATTTAATTTAGTGTATCGTTGCAATATAAAGACCTACTGCGACGTGAGCAAAAAATCTATCTCAATATTATTATTAAATAGTTTTAGTTTATGAACAGTGTCTCTGATTCTTATGTAGCGGGTATGTATCTGACTGTTTTTTAGGTAAAGGTTTTTTGGAAGGCTAATTTTAAAAGTGGCCGAAGGAACGTGTCACCAAAACAGCATTTCGATTAAGGTATTTTCTATATTTGACAGGAATATAAAATAGTACTATACAGGATACAAGCGGAATCTACTAGTTTATGCTAATACTTGTGTATTCTCAACGCCATTCGAATGTCCATCTTCATTGGTAATATAATATTGAAAATAACTAATTTAACAACAACAGTGGAAATACGTTTTTGAATGCTACTTGCTAGCTGTTGCTGGCGCCAATTTGAAATGTACATATGCATATATTAAATTGAGAACAAGCTCAGAAACAAATTATATTCAAGTACAAACATTGCAGAATTACTTTCACCGTTATTCGAACAGAACATCAATTGTAAGGAAACCATTCTTATAATTAAACAGCAACAAAAAATGTTGTCATATATCTATTGTATCTAAATCCATTGTACAGTTGCAATGAAGTTCACCGTTAAGCTAAGTTATATAACCTGTGAAGGTTTGTGGCTCAATCGACATGGTATGGAAGAATCGGACACCATAATCGTCTGATAGATGTTATTAATGTAAAAAAATAGTTAAAATTGGTTAGCGTTATCATTCATTTTCCATAAAGATGGGACATTCTATCATGCTAGCACGGGGATATTTCGCGACATTATTTTCCTCTTAGTCAAAAATAGCAACTTTTATTGGCGAAATAGTATCGAAGAGTAAACTAGCGGTAGATTCGTCTCCTTTTTTCATTCACGTACAATGACTAATCATTTTATAAGTTGTTTTTATTGGTGCGTCTACAACATATGGCTTATAGGTTCTAAGAACCTGATCTGAAACATGTTTCTTTGTCTTTAGGTCTAAGCAATAAACACAACCAAACCATAAGATACATATTTGATTTCCAAAACGAAGTGTCCGTACGTCGCATAAATATTAATAGGCACGCAGACATATACCCGTAGGACTTAGCTTTGTCCTTACAGGGCAGATGCGAAGGATGATTTTATGTTTCTATTACCTAAAAACAAAGCAGGGAACTCGTTGCCAAATTACACTGACTAGAAAATAGCGTTGTCAATTAAGGTAAGGCTCATTGCTACAATTAGTAGTTCAGTATATGAAAATATTAGACTCGCAGAAAACAATTAGGATAGTTATATGCCTGGTCTTGGATTTAATTTGATTAATTCGACAATGTTTAATTACTAGTTAAAAGTATCGCAACAGTCAAAGGAGTCATCAGCTATATAACTTGCTTAAAAGGTAAAAGAGATTAAGTTAATGGCTCTCTTTTTAGTGGTAATCGCAAGAAAAGATGGCTATAATTTAAAAAAGAAAACGTATCGTCTCAATCTATGCTTTCGGACCCTGCATACACTAAAAAAGAGTTGTACCAACTCCTGTCTCAATAAACGTTTGACTTACGAGTAGAAGATTTGCAAAAAATTGACGACGACGGTGATTAACATCTTCACGTCTACTTTGCAATAAATTATTGCCAGTGGGTACCTACTCTTTCTCCACAAACGAGCAATATTGTTTCAAAAACATGAAGAACCTTTGTGTGTGGTCTGATCGTAAATGACCCGTTAAGCAAACAGTTTATTACATATATAAATACTTTGATATTCACAAACGATATATGCCGCACAGCAAACTACATTGTATCAAGATAACTATAGTATAGATGTTAGATTTCGAATTCGTATTTTGCAATGGAAATAACACCTAGTTAACATTTGTCCATTACGCTTTCGAATAGTTTACAGGTTTCTTCAAAAATCATTTTCGGCATTTTCAACAAGTTTCACAATTTCATATGTACAAGACAGACTTATCCCAGCTTGGCATAAATCACTACAGGAGCAATAAATATGCAGTCTGACTTTTACACTGTAATATTCAAGTTTTGAATAAATATTCTCGTGTTGTTAGTCTTCCTCGAGCTTTCTTTTGAGACCCTTCTCACCCTTGAGACCCTCACCACTAGCAGGCGCTACAACTTCGTGTGATTCGACACTAAAAACTTGCTCTTCAAATGCTTCTTTTCCATCTTCTGTCATTTCGACACTTTTCTCTACCTCATCTTTTGGAAGAGAGCTAGACTTTTCATCGGGTACTGCATTATTATCCTCGTCAAACTGAACTTTTTCACCGGCGTCTTCTCCTGCAGTAGGAGCAATGGTTGTGTCTTTTATGTTAGTTTTTCCCTTAATTACATCTTTGAATGGTGCGCTTGTCCTCTGCCATATCTGGACATAACTTTCAGAGAGCGTTATCATTTGTGGCAAAATTTCAGTTACGTGTAAATCTTGCAACTCGTACCATTTTCCCGACCCGCGGTGAAGGACATGGCAACGGTAAGTTCCTGTTCGATAGAGTAAAGAAAAAGAATTTTATAAATGTTGTAGGCCATAACTATTTTCTTCATATATGCATACGAACGTATATGAACTAAATATAAATAAAAAGAGCGTTAAAAACCGCCATATTTAAACAATCTGCGTAATTTTAATTATGCTGTTATTAAAGCATCAATCTTGGGTTATTTCGCGTACCTTTATTAGGCTCTCCTTCATGAACAATGTTAGCAACAAGATCATACACGTTCTCGGGATTAGCTTTTCGTGCCTCAAGCGCGAGCACATCTCCGAAATCAACGTTGCGAATAGGGAAGTTAACAATTGTGGGATTCTTCTCCGTGAAAAACGTGTTTCGCGTAAACCGCTTCATATAAAGTATTAAATACCTGAAAAAATACACGCAAGGCATTAAGTTCCAGATATGATATGCAAGAACACTGGGGTACATACAGCCTTGTGTTCCTGCTTATAAACGTCCAAGTCAATTTACAAAACGTTTATCACCTTCCTGCCTGTTAAAAAGCTTTGCCAAAATTTTGGGTCACACTCACTTTGGCAATTTAATTATTTCGAAGCGTTTAAGGGTGTTGTCCTTGTACGTCTTATACTCTTTTTCCTGGATTCCGTTGAATTTGGCCATGATTACACTTAAGGGTACCTGAAAATAAAAAAAAAACAAAAAATTAAATCACAAATTGATGAAACAAATAACGCATTGCACAGCATAAACATGTCATTTACGAGTCCAAAATAGAGTTTTTTTCAAGTTGAGTTCCGGCTAATAATAAATCGGTGGCACTGGCTACCACAAACGATACAAATAGACGTGACAGTGTAATAATTAGCAATTCTTGAATCACCTGAGGAATTATATTTTCACGCTGGTCATCACGAAACAAAGGCTGCGACGGTAAATCCACGGTGAGGTACATGAATGGCATTTTTTCTTCCTGTTCAAAACAACAACGTAAAGGTAAATATCACATTAATACTAAATGCGTCTTTAAGACAACACACTTATTTGTACTATAACAAAGGTAGGAATTGACGTCAAACAGCAAGGTACACGAAGAAAAAATACTATTTACGGACTTTTACTTCATATTCAGCCGGATCGTAAACTTTTGGTTGGTGCTCAGGGTCTGTTGGAAACAGCTTCTTTGAATATACCTGAAAAAAAAAACAAGAACGGGATATTTAGTTTACACTGAGTTAGACTTGGTAAAGGTGAAAAAAATATATATATTTAGATAAAAATGAAATACGAAGGAATATTGCACTGAATCTGCAGTTGACTTCAACAATAAATGAGATTGTTAATAAAATATGCATTTGTGGACTTTCTCAGCCTTAGAAAATCATAATGGCGATTGGAAATTTCATATATAGAGTGAACTGAAAATCCCAAAAAGCTGCTGAAGATAAGACTTACCCTCATTCGTCCCCTAAAAGTTTTGTAGATAACTGAGCTGGAATCTTTGTTGGTACCGTTAAGAGCAATGTGAAGCGAATTCAAAAACCAAGATAAGAAGTCTACGGGATCGCCCTGATTCGTGATTTGAAATCTGAAAGAGTAGTAGCAATGTACACGTTTCGCAATTTTGACCTATCTTATTCGATATTAAATTTCATAATGGAGACATTGAGCAACTGCTTTGAGAAAGTAATGTGCCTTGAAAGCACCAAATGGGAGAACCAGAAACATGGTAAAATTAACCGCGTCAACCCGGATGTAATATCATATAGTGGGTATACAAACCTCACTGTCATTAGTCTAGCGAATACCTAATTTATAAAGTCACTAGTCAATGACCCTGTTAAGATCAAATATCTTGTTTCCATCGGCACGCACCTCTTTTTTGAGCAGAGAACAACAGCCTGCAACATTTCATGCGGCGACACGTGAGCTTTGAAGTGGCGTGGGTTCCACAACTTTCGAAGCAGCTCACCGAATCTGTAAACATAATAAAAAGTCATAACGAAGAAATAGTCTATATATAAATATTCAATATGCTTTTTCTATTCGTATATCAAACAACTAAGGCACATGTTACATTTACAGACTCACGGAAGAAGTACACAACAATGACACAATTGTCATAATACGTCGTCGACTGTGGTATAGAATATGGAAAGCATAAAGCTCTAGTAGTACTGACAAAAGTAGAAGTTGGGGTTTTCATGACAAACGACAAATTGTATGGCCTCGTGGCTATAGAAATGCGTATATCGGAAATTCGAATATTCGGCCTAACGGTTTTTTCAATGGTACTAACGTCTGTTGCCACTTTGTCCTGCTTACAGTTTCCTGGAAGATTCAGATTTGATGTGACGACAGCTAAGTTAACGCTTCATTATAATAGTACGTGTTTATACGTTACGAGTGAATATACCTTTGTACAATGAGAAACATGTTGTCACCCGGAGGTCTCTTGATGTCTCTGTAGTTTTCATCCCGTAACATATAGTCTCTTAATGGGGCAACCCCGCTCAAAGCTTGCAAGATGACGTTGCAGTAGTCATTCGCCTTAATGTTGTTAAGGCCTACGATCCCAGGCAAATACCTCGTTCCTTAAGAATCGTCACAGATGAACATCATTTTAAATAAGCGTACTAAGAACTTTAAAAACGAAAAATATTGAGCGCAACTTCTTATTGTGAGGCAGTCGTATTTTTAACAATTACGTTTCAAACATATAATTAGTCAAAAAAAGTTGCCCAGTCATATATATATATATATATATATATATATATATATATATGGAGAGAGAGAGAGAAAGCGAGAGAAAGAGAGAGCAAATAAATTATATGTTCTTATGTGTAATATAGTAAACTCACTTATTGCGTATTGTGGTCTTTCGCAACAGCCGATTAAGTATTGCATATTAGTTTGTTGTTCCCCGTGAATATGTAACCTCTCTCAGAACTTATTCGTACTCAAATATTGCGGATGATCGCTTCATTAATTACCGTCAAGCGCAATCGATAGCTTCTCCGTCTTATCGAGCTCCTTAATGTCCTGATGAGAGAATCTTGGCTGTAGTACGAACAGGATATCATCTAACGCAGAATCGACGACTCGGTAATTGTCGGGAAGACAGAAAAACTCGAGTGACTCCAACTGGAGGAAGACGTGATGACCTGCGTGGACACTATGGGTATACGCATGTGTTGATGGTCCTCGGCCCTAAATTGAAAAAAAATGTAATACTTGACGTTTATTAGTCCGCGATTTCTGTTCCTATGGGGTACATGCGTCTCATTTGAGTAGACAAGAGAAGGCAATGTAATGTGGACAGAATAAATCAACGGTTTTTATCATTTATTTGACATAATTTTATACTCCTCTGCATATACAACCAACCAGCTAAACAAATTATTTGGCAAACGGCATGTTCTTTTCAAATCTAGGACTGATATAATTTTTAATAACCAACTAGCATGTCTAACCGTAATTTCTTTTATCTTGCTTTAACAGCAATGCTATCAGCATAGTGCGGACCTAAATAGATTGTTAAAAATTATTCCACGTTCTGAGTAATGAAAGAAGTTGTATCAATAATTAATGTTAAAAAAGACAGGTAACATACCTGGAAATATTTTCCACAAACTAAACAGGCATAAACATTGATTCGACTTAAACTAACGGAACAAAGCTTCTCGAAGTCAAAATCAAGCACGCTCCTGTTAATTGTATCCAAATAGGGACAGCTTCGACTTTTTGCAGATTCTTTAGACATTTCAGTTTAATAGCGAATAGATTTCTAATTGTTCGAAATCTTGAAGCTCAGGAGCTTTACCAGAGGTTCTACAGAAAAGCCTTGACAGTGAAGGAAAAATCTTAATGGTCCTAAAAGTCACACTTAACACTGCACAGCACCTTTTTCACTAGGTATTTCTTGTTACTCAACGTTATGCGGATATAGTAATAGCGAATGTATCCCAGCCAACGTAAGAAAACGTTTCTTATCGAGTCGAATGCGCACCGGCGTCCTTTTATTTGTTTACTATTTGCTAGCAGAAGTCCGCGTGAAAGGAGAGGAGAACTCTAGTGGAAAGGGTGGCACAGGAACAATGATATGGCGCCGGACTTTGCAGGCTGTCTAGAAGGAGAAAAACTTCCACCTGAAGCAGTTATGACATAGAAAGTCTTAGTGAACGGTAGTGTACCCGAAACATCGTAACAACATCTGAGAATACATTAGATAAAATCTCGAATGAATAGATCGTTGGCCGGAAGTCAATGGTAGAAAACTTGTTTCAAGTAGCAAACAACGTCTTGATTTCACACAAAAAAAAATCTTGCTAAATCATGTAAACTCATGCAGAGACTCTCAGAGGGGCTCCAGGTACCTATTATCATTACCGCTACTGAAGGTAGTAGCCTAAGTCAACATAGCGGATATAAGCTGAATAGAGCCTTTTTGTACCTAATCTACAGTTTAAGCTTACCTTTTTGTACTAACCTGAATACTCAATAGTTCGTACTGCAGGCTTTACACAGTTTTTTGACTTTTTCTATCTATGAGTTTCTGGCCATTGTGTCTAGTGTAATTTGTTATTTTTTCCGGATCTCTTTGGTAGGTCTGTTAGTCATTTTTTTCCGACGTTCCCTTGAGACGCATTTGCACCGCTTAAAATATTCAAACATTAACTCTATTTATAGAGAGTCATGTATTTCTGGGGTAAAATTATTGCTTCTGAAATCAATGAAATCGATGAATTGTGACGAAAATGAAAGTTGCATCTTAATCCGAAAAAGTCTGACGACTGTTTTAATAAAATTGTTCAGGCACTGCAACATTGATAATTCCCGCATGTGAGATTTATTAACTGAACCAAGCGTATTCTACTGCATATCTCAATGTTGTATAAATAATTAGGCCATGGAAAGAGAATTATGGGTCAACTAGTTCAGTTAACCTTATCAGGTATAGTATGTACGACCCGGAAGCCCGTGTACTATTAATTCACGTACATCATTGTGCTAGGCGAATTTGTTATATTTTTTATATGATATAAAAAGAGTCGTTGATTTATTTCATAGCAACCATTGTGCTCAAGATTCGTTCCGTTTGTAATAGAGTTGGTCACCAAAAATAAGTTCTGGTTGTTTTTAAAGTTGGTTTTAACCGCGACCTTTCGAGTTCTGTGTCGTCATAAAAAAACAACAACAATAAAGGAGAAAACATGCGTGCACCACGCATATGTTTGCGAAATGTAATGAAGCTGTTATAGTTGAAAACAAACATACTTGGTCATTACCAGTTAGTGACTCGTAGAGCTAACAATAAGTGAATTTACAATACAAAACGATGATAATGTCTCATAATATGCTTTATCTCATTAACTTTTAAGGCACAATTTATTTTAATATTATATAGCGGCCACATATGTTTCTAAAAAGTAGTATTGCAAAAGAAGATTTAGCTCATTAAACTAAAGCGATTTGTTTAGTTTCGTTATTATAAAAATCTCCTCCAGTGAAATGCAGCTTCTTTGATTCGTTTCCTCAAGGATAAATACCACGGCGTTTCTCAATATAAGCAGTTTAGCTTTCTTCTTTCTTTGTGCTTATCCATTCAAATATACTTTATGGGTCCTGAGGCCATGTGTCCCTCTTGGCTGGCTTGCGATTCAGTAGCCCCCTAAAATGATCCTGCCGCTTCTTACAATACTACCGCTTCTCCCTGCCCTTCCAACTTACCGTTAGCTCATCCTTGAGTACCAACAGCAGCAGAATGCTTGGGAAGCAGCGATCGCTTGTCACCGCATCGCAACTGCAGAACTTCGTGGAAAAAGTGAAGATGATGGCGACCTTTATCACTGCACAGGCTTGAATCGCCGTGGCTCTGTGTCAAGGAGTTCTTGCGATTTCTAATAATATTGTCTCGGATACTAGCGCTCCTGACGCTGCTACAACTAATAAATTTCAGCAGCCAGCTGCTTGGCTGCAGTTGTCGCCGGCCTTTGTTTGTTCCCAGCGTGATTTTTTACAGATATCCGCGCTTGAAACTCTGCATCACCTAGGGAAATAAACACGCCCCTAGGCGTCTGTCATACTCCGGACATGGAGCAAGGGGACGGGCAAGCCTGGGGATGATGTTCGCTTTTAATGAAGGAAATGATGTACTAGTAGTACGCCATTTTTATACTGAACACGATTTAAATAATTATCGAAGAAGAATGGCCAGAGAACTCGTAGATATAATACTGAAGTGACCATCAATGCTCGCTAAAATATGGGTTGCACACGGAGAAATTTATACCTGTCTATAGAGAATTTAGTAGGACGATTTTCGTTCCGCTTTTTTCTAGGCTGCACCTAAATCGGGCCGCGACACCTTCGTACTTATCCAGTGTAACTGCCATTTACTTCGGTCACGGCTTTAATTAAAGACCGTTAAAGCCGTTTTAAACCTCTCACAAGCTCCAACCAAAACAGTTCTATTAATATGCTCTAAGATCCTCCCAATAGTGGAAATGAGCGAGTCGATTTTTCAGATCGAGATTTTCAAATCTCTGCTCGGTAATGCTCCAAAAGCAGTGGATTCGCACGTGTTTTACTTGTTAGTCAGAGATCCTTGTTTTGGAACACATGTGCCTAGCGAGCCTCACACTGTCGCATGTACGAGCAGATGGGCTATCTTGTTGAAAGAGATCTAGCCTATCAGCACGGTGGCCAAATACGGTCATATTGTAACGTTTAGCACGTCGAAATAAAATTCTTTGTAAATGAATACGTCATTCTCTAATAAATATGGCGCCATGATATCCTGTTCAACATATGCAGTATTTAAAGCATGGCACTGGTTCGATGTTAGGTTCTTCTTATAATAATGAAATATTCTGAATCGTAGGTAAGTCAATGATCGGCCCTGCAATTTATTTTTACCCTTATCGTAACTATTTTCCTGTCTCAGAAGAATTGAAGACGTCCTATCTTATGTTGGAAAGAACTAGTTAGCAAATGCGTATTGATTGAGTCTCTCGGCTCGAATTTTTCTTAAGTAGCCTGTACTTAACTTGATGGCATATGAATTACGTCTGAGGTGTTTAAGCAAAAGCTTGGAACAGCCCTATACAAGATCAATTAAGCCGCCAAGATCCGTACTGTGTGACTAGACTGATCAGAAACGGGCGTTTGCTTTCCTGCCATGAACAAAATATTGTTGAAGACGAATTCCGGTAGGGGTTGTCTTAGCATTGGCAAGTGCACCTACTACACCGTTAACCCGTAGCGAACAGCAGTAGCAGTAGCAATTTAATCTTACCATCTCGTTGGTCTCGTTCTGTGAGTTTTATCTGTTTATAAAATGTCTCACAAAAAGAAGTTGATAGTAAAGTTTGTCTAATCTCACGTTGACTATCGATTCATTATTGCCACACGTGCTAACGCTAACGATTTCTATACCTTTTAATACATTTGTCCGTTTCATTGCTTTTCATAAGCTAAAATCATTGGGTTTATGATGGGTTATGCCTTCTTTTTTATCTAGACAGCTAAAAATGTAGCTAGCAGACATGTACAAAGTACACTGGAAATTTGAGAAAAAAAATGAAGTTTGTAAATTTAAAAAAAAAAAAAAAAAAATTGAGAAATAAAATGTTATCAGTTTGAAATATAGTCTGGCCTCAAATATCTCGGCTTGTTATTTGTCGGTGCCATAGAGATTTAGCCAGAACATTTCCAAAAAGCCTGCTATTAGGATCCAGCATTGTCCTGCGTCGCATAACTAGATGCTACGAGATTTTTAATTAAGTTCAGGTGGGTCCGCTCCCATAGGCAACTTCGAAATATATCGTTGATAAATTGATGAGAATCGTCGATCCTTTTACTCTGCCTCGCTGCTTCTCGCTTCCGATGACTCAGAGGCAAGGAAAATGAAAGATTCTCACGGAAAATGCGTGTACCTCTATACGGCGAGAAGTCGATGCAGACACACGCTCGTATGCTCAGGGCTAGATTTAATAACCGTTCTTTCAGGGAGATTTTAGCCACGTGAACGGAGTTAGACATCTGACACTGGGGCAGACAACTGGAGTTAGCGTCGAACAGACACCTATGACTATCGATATATATTCACAAAGGATAGCTATATACCTCTTTTTGTAGTTATTGAGATGCTCTAAAGAACTCAGCGGAGCAATAGTCTATCTCATTATTATCTCAACGACACAAAGTGTTTGCTTTCAAAACAATAGGTTTACAAAACGGTACTTGTTAAATATGGGCAAATATCGCCAAGAAACGACTGTGTAATAAATATAGATTCTTTTCGTCATTAGATATTCTAGAGCCACTGTACTACTACATAGAGCCTCAATGTTTGTTATGTTCCTTCTTACTGAGCCTTCGGACGGTACTGCATACGTGACAATGTGGCTAGTGTTTCATACGTTGAGCGCGAGCTGATATTAAGTGTGTAAAGCTCGTTCAAGCCACCATCAAGAGAGATCTGCGAGATTTTATGGGTTAATTCTCATGAACTTTCGTAGATTTAGGTGTCCGACTTAATCCTATGACACTGATTGAAACAACTGGAATAAAAATGGTCGAATTACATGGTTTTTCTTTCCGTTTTGTTCTATAAGAGTATAGTATAACCATATTCACCATAAAAGTAAACATTGCCTAAACATTGCATTAAAAGTAAACACCGCCTCGATTCGAGATCGGCGTGAGTAAGTCCAAATTTTACCAATTTTTTTTTAAATAAATAGCGCACTGCGTATTGCACCCGGTAAAGACATCGATATGATTCTCTATATTAGTTCTAATAAACTCTTGGTTCGAATAAAAAAGGCGAAAGGCACACAAATGTCATTATAAAAACGAAACGTTTTCAGAATGAGTCTAAATAAGCTTTCATGACCATCAATTTGGAAATGCTTTAACTTTTTTTTATTACAAATTGCGATGTCTAAGTTAGGTTTTAGTATTCAAATCCTCCAAGTAGTAACACAGTGTGCGC